GAGGGGCCATCACAGCCATTAGTCTCGCACAACACTTGGAGATTGTGTTGACAGTTATCCCGAAGATGACAACTCCTTGATGCAGAAAGCAAAAGCGCATCATGACCAGATCGTTCGTTGACTGACGCGTGTGCTAGAACTAAATGCGATAGCTAGATTACCTGACGTACTTTCCTTATTTTCGAATAAATACTTGATGGTCCTTACCAGCAGATTTCTACTATTGCCATAAAAACTGAATCTTCTCATTAAAAATGTCAATATAGCCAGCGCAGGATTGGCTATGTTTCGCGCGATTAAACAGTAGCGCTCAAAGGTCTTTCCGGGTGGAATACTTCCTTCGACTGTTAACATTTTTTTTGCCGAATCGAATCAGTTGCAAAATTTCAATAGCTGTTTTGAAGATCAGAGCCTTCTTCACTGAGCTTGCATATCTTGCAAAGATATTGCCACCGAGACTTTTTGAGGCGCTACAGTATTGAATCATATTGCAGCCGTTGCAACGAAACTTTATTCGTAGCAGAAAGCTAAATTTCCAGATCTATGTGAAAATGTAATGTGTTTAGTAAGCTTGGGCCAGAAGAATTGCAGAGCGAACGGAGAAAAAGAAGAATTAACGGTTTAAAACTGCTCGCTGCGCGGGTGCCTTTGATACCTTTTGAACAGGCGAGCGCTCTTGAATTACTTCAGTAAAAATGATTCGTAGCTGAAATCGCTTTGAAAGAAGGTGATGTAAATTCAGCGGATATGATCGTACATCAATGAAACAAGAAGCCGGTGACGCCCTTTCTTTCGTGCATTCGCGAAAAGTACTTTGGAGTGCTTTAGTCATACTGATTTACAAGCAAAGTTTGGTGTGTCTGTCCGCTCCCACGAGAATTCGCAAGTAACCCACACCTGTTGTGTTAATTTTTGCTCCAACTCATCTAAGGGAGCGGAGGTAAATTTTGCAATTGGATGTAGGCTGAGCTTGCGGAGAGACAGCGCCTAATGTGTTTGCGATCGCAGGTTCTTCAAAAAATTGCTCCCCTGCCACCATCACTATTGGATTGATGTTTCGAATACGTAGCATTTGATTCCTGAGATCCTTGACACGATCAAACTGTTCCCCGCAAAGCGGATGTGAGCCGGGAGGAGAGGACGCTGGATTTCCCCGACATACTTAACCTTGCTGTTTCCTAAATTTCAAAATTCTTCCCTCCAACTCGAATTATGCGACCTCTTCGAATGCACATCAGCACTTGTCGTGAGTACAAACAATTACCTTATCGATTTCGAAGAATAAATAAATTTGGCAAGTTACCGCTGCAGCGAAATACACTCCCTACTAAAAATTTTAGCGGTCTAAAGATTAGGGAAAGTTTGAACGCAAACTCCCGCATTTATGCGAGAACTCAGGTCCAAAGATTTATCCGACGAATACGCCTGTCTCGGCACCGTCTTTCGCCTTCGCCCTTCGTGCTGCAGCGTCGAAACTATATAGAATATAATATGCGATCTGGACAACACTTTGCCAGACTTAGGATTTCATAGAGTCGCCTACGGAAAAATGTTGCAGTGTCGTTGGGCATAATCCCATTTCATGTAATGACTGTGAGACTGCTGACTTTTCATCCGGAAGCGGAATTGTGCATAATAGAAGTGCAAGTTCTGTCATTTCTCACTATATCTTCAGCTGCGGCACTGCCTACATACTTTATCTTCTTTTTTAAGGTGCCACATTGATGGAATTTGGGATTTTGATATGAATTGAGCGTTCTGCTTTTGGCCACCAATGAAAATTCGTGGTACTTCCAAATGAAAGATTCATCCCAAGATATCGAAGCGCTCATTTTGCTGTCAAAAATTCAACGGATAGCAATGCGCGAAGTTGCCACCTTTCCAAACACAACTCCGCTTTATCACTACAAATATGGTGTAGTCTTAAAGGAAGCGAACACGGGTAGGGAGGGATAGCATCGGGTGAGCACATATATGCGCACACTTAAAGCAGTTACTTAGCTGTATGAAAGCAAAGTGATCGGCACTTTACGATGGAAAAGAATACCTGGTTGCTGGCGCAGGACTTCTTCGAAGCCGACTCGCCCCGAAAATGCGTTACGCGCACTAGTTCAGTAAGGTGACTTTGGCGGCTTGCTGTTGGGCGCTTTCATTTTTGGAAGATCAGTTTCCGCTTTTTTGCGGGCTTCTAGTTCAACTTACCTTATGTAACTGCCTTATCAATCAAAACACAGTGGCTTGTTGGCATTGAGCGGCTATCAGGCATGTTATAAAGGAATCTTCACGGACCGATGGCACCGTGGGCGGGACGGAAGTGCGTTTTGCCGAACGCAAACTGCCTGTAGCTACGGATCCGACGTTCATGGAGAGTTTGAAAGTGATCCTGTTTCATCGTTCGTGCGTTCGACCGTGGATCGTACCTAACCATGCATTTCGTCACAAAAACTTCCGGTCACGCCCACTGGTTCGTGGAAGATTCCTTTAACTCGTCCACGCCTTCTTTTCTGCCGCCGCTCATCCATGGTCGAAAATAAACGGGCAATTAAGGGATACCTTTGCATATCCTTGACGGATTTCTCTACTTTTTCGCCATTGACGAACCATTGAGCATCCCCACGATCCCCTTAAACCCTGCCAGGACCTATCGCGATCGTTGCCTAACATAAATAACATTGTGATCGTAATCAACGATTTATCACACCGCCAATAAACAACTACGAAGGGCCTTAAGGGCACAGGTCGGGATGACGCGGTCAAACGGTCCCCCTTACTCAGTAGGCTGGGATTGCGACCAGAGAGGTGATCTCACGCTCCTGTAGCGACAAATGACGCCTCTTGTACAGTATTTTGAACGAAGGCCGCCTGGCGTTGTCTACGACCGCTATCGCCAAAGGTGCATACGAGGCATAGATGGCCTCATTCCAATTCACACAGCACTTTATTCAAATCATATCTCATGTCAAGCACGGTTATTTTGAGCAATGTTCGCAACTGGTAGTAGTGCAATTGCTGATGTGGAGCCTGACTATTACGAAAACCCGTCCCGACACTCATGCAGCGAGGTTCCTTCGCCGCTGTTGAGAAGTATTCCAACTCGATCTCGTTCCTTGCCTTTGAAGGAAGAATTTATGACGAGATTGCAGATTGCAAAGGGACCGAGTGGTAAGGCAAGAAAACAGCCTACAGGTGCAAATGCCCTCACCGACCTAGGAAGGCCGACCGGCAAAGATGGCGACGCTATACGCTCTACGATTGGCGACCACCTAGCTGTCAGATGTTACACGTGGATACCACCCACTCAGCAAAGACGAGAAGCAGGGTGACGTTGATGACGTCAGGTCCGATCAGACTCGCTTAGGGGGGAAGCAAAGGGTGAAAAAGGGTTTTATTTCTCGGTTTCCATATCGCTTTTCTTGGGTTTTATCTTCATTCCTCATCATCGTTGACTACTTCGATCTTGATTTCTGAAATGCTTCGGTTTTACATGGACCCCTTTTTTAATTTTTACAGGAAACGCTATTAGCATCCAAAACGCTGTGCATGACGGCGCTACAGGCGGATGGCAAGCAGAGGTTCTACAATGTAAAAAATCTTTATGGTTGGAGTGAAGCAAGGATAACTCAACAGGCACATTATGCTGCAATGGGAAAACGATGCATTGTGGTATCGCGGTAGGTCAAAAAACCTTTTAAATGTGTGAGAATCAGTTTTTTTTGTCTGAATTCCCCTGTTCTGAGGTTTTGTGACAGAATATTAGGGAATCCGTATCCTTCTTAGGTCAACTTTCCCGTCGGCTGGACGGTACACTGGACACTGGTTGGGGGACAACTCCGCCACCTGGGAAGACCTTCAGGCATCCATAATTGGTGCCATGGAATTCAACATGTTCGGAATACCGTGAGCCAGATTTCAGCAAGAAATTATTAAATAAAGGTTTATCTCTCATGAAAATTGCATAGGTTCGTCGGAGCGGATCTATGTGGCTTCAACGGGAAAACGAGCGAAGAACTCTGCCTAAGATGGCAACAATTGGGAGCATTCCATCCTTTCATGAGGTACTACCTTCGTCTGAGCAATGTGATTATTTCGTCAAGTTCGCTTATTTCTTTGCCGTGCTCATCATCTCTATGGGCATGATACAATGTGCAAATTACTTTCGGAATATTCCGAGGATTTCAGTACTTCCTCATCAATTCATGCATTAAGCTACATAACTCTTTTGGTCCTTCACTCTCTTCTCCTCCCTACACATGAGTGGACTTCAAAAACACCTGCTGAACATAACCTTTCTGATCTCTTCGAAATCTTACGGCCAGAGGAGTCTAGTCTACCAATAAAGTTCAATAACGTCATCAGAACCCCATCACCATCCAGCCATTTTGATTCCACCTTTAAGACCTTTGGAATACAGTGACACTGGGCAAGGTACTTTCCTTATCAACCTTTTCATGTTTCAGGTAACAATTCATGTGGAACAGTTGAAGGGGTTTCGTGACTATGTGATGGATAAACGATGTAAAAACCTATTCAGGAACCATAACGCGATAAACGAACCACCGCAAGATCCCGCACTATGGCCAAGTGTAGCTGAGGCAACGAAGAAAGCGACGCTCTTCCGATACAGATACCTACCGTATCTATTTAGGTAAAAATAGAGCTTGAGAACGCATTCATGAGAAAGCGCCACGTCTAAACTAATTGTTGTGTCCAACTTTGTAGACAAAAACCTCACGTTCAGTTTCCTGTCGTAAGTCCGGATATTTATAAATTGTTACATGGCACATATAGCACAGCGATTCGAACCGTTCAGAGTAATCGTAGCACCACCCCTTGGTGTCATGGAGCATCAGATCCTGACCCAGTGCTATATAGATGGATAGTACTCGTGCGTTGCGTCGGAGGGACCCGAGTCTCCATTGCATAGTGTTCAAGAAAAGTGAAAGCAACGTTTGAGAAGTCGTCCCTAGTCAATCACTGGCCCGATCCTGTCGTTGGCCAATGTCTGCAAGCGAAGTTCGCACAGACGCTCGGATACTCTAGCGGAAAAGTTGATTTCCGCGATGCAAACGCCACCGCTGGAAATGCTGATTGAAGCACCGCACGCAGCACAGTCCGCGCCTTTAATGAGAGGTTCCAGAGCATTTGGGGAAAATCTAGGAACAGCACGAACTAGATCTTTTAGAACGACCTAATATATAAAGTGTTGCATGGCATAGCATTGAGAGCACATTTGGCGATTGGATTATCAGCAACTGCGCTCAAAAATGAACCAAGTTGTGGTACTCAACAGGTGTACAAAAGAACAAAGAACTGCCTAAGATTTTTGAAATCATCGCGCGCTGTTCCACGCTGGGGCGTGGTTTGCGCTCCACCCCTACGTGAATTTCAGTGGTGAGTTTTGCCCTGATACAGCAAACTATGGCGAAATACCTTAAAAAATGAGCCAACCAATGAGGATGCCGCACAGGCGGGGCTACGCTTATGTCACCTAAAGACTATTACCACAGCATTTTTTGCTCTCTTTCACTGAAGCTGGACTAGTCACAACCACATCCATTTTTGGCACAGCAGCGCCTATAACCGCAGAATCTGCCTTCAATCCGCTTCCTCAATCGGCATGAGATTGACGTCAAGGTCAACCGTCACGCTGGACAAATTTCATAGATCCCCCTTCCCTGAAGGGCCTCGATTCCCCCACCCAGCACCACTTGTTTGTGTCTGTGTGTGTATACGGATATATAAACGTGTATCCTACTCGAAATGAGCGATATAAGTAATAAACACAAAACACCATGAAACAGAACTCAGGTATGAAAGAACTTTTCCCGCCGGGGAACCGAATTGAGCACGAGAGCGTTGTGCTCGCATGGGCGCGCACAATCTCCCCCGACCCAGCGCGGATAGGCCGAGGCGAACCACTAATTTTCAAAAAAGTGTAATTGTATTCAGCCCAATATTTTCCCAAAATGCAAAGTGGATTTGTTTCTACGAGACCCTTAGTTCCCGAATTAACCACCTTTTCGCAGTTTCTCCAAAACTTTGTTAGCTAGGGGTAGAGAAACCGGAACTCACAGAAATGCGCACTTCTTCCTTTAAGGAGATGGAATTTTTTGAAACAAGGAAATGTGAGAGGTGATAAGAAAATTTCTCCACACTAGTCTGATTCCTTTCTGACAAGTACTCAAACTTTTGCAACGTCTTTTTCCTTCAAGAAATCGTCCCGTTGTACATTTTTTTCATAACCAGGTTTTTTGCTTTATGCCAACTAAATTTCCTCAGAACTACCATGTGAGAACCGAGTTGCGCGTGTCAACCACAAGCTGCACAGCACCATCCTCACGACACCGCTATGAGGGCATTCGTCATACGGTGCCCGCACTTGCTTTTGCAAATCTTTTCAGTTTCTTAAGCCTTATGCAGTGTGAATCATAAGTATAGATGCACCCGTAAAATTGTCACAGTCGCTTTTAAGAGAAGTTCATATTTGAAATGCGTGCGCCATCAGTATCAGAGTGCTAAAAAACCGTTGCCTGCCGTGGTAGAAAATTGAACGCGTTTCAACAGTTGGTGGTTACTTTGGCCGTATCGAAAGTTGAGGTACGTTAGATGTTCAAATAATATTTGCTGGAAGCGAGCTAACAACAACTTCCTAACAGTTAGCCAGCTCTACTCATTTTGAAGAGGCTTTAGAACTGCGGTTCTGCATTGATTTCACCGACCTTTTTTTTAAATTATCGACCCAAACGACCCCTACGTGACTGACGCACTATTACGTGAAGGTCTAGTAAAAAGGATCGTGAATAGTCCAGAATAAGACGTTCAGTTTTTCCCATAACGTTTTGGTCACGAGAGGGCACGTTAGTCCGTGGAACCTACAATTCGCTCCTCTACCCACGAGTACCTCAAAGAGCTCAGGCGCGATGTTTTGCTGGAAAACGAATTTTGATGCACAGTAATGGGACGAAGAGCAGAAGACGGCATCTCAGCACGCTTAGGTAGCCTGTAGAATCCATGAGCATGACAGTGAAGGTTTTTCTGAGCTTTTCGAGTGCGCGAACTCCCAACGAATCGCAGGAACCGCGCAATCGTTAAGGGTCTTGGAGTTCGGTGTTAACGGGTTCAAAGCTGCTCCACTTTGAATAGAACGAACCTGGTGGGATCTCACCATATGATGAAAAACTTTCATACTAGGTGATGCTTTATTTATTCTGCTGCTGTTTTGTTAAACTTTTTTATTAGAATTTTTTTATTAGATTAAAAATTCAAATCCACATAGTGCGTCTATCCTGTTGGTGCAGGCGAAGAAGCAACCAGCTATTGAAAAATGTTCAGTTTCTGTCCAGATTATATAATCTGAAAAGAGAGGGATTTCGGCATTGTTATTTCGACAACATCGTGCATCTCCGATATGAACTACTCTGAAGTTCGACTGTGGCAATTTTGACGTTAATCTGTACTTGCTTTAAGCGTACTGTAAATGCTGCACTTTTTAGTTTACATTTCATTGCCTCTATGGAGGGAGCAACTGTAATCCGACCGGTATTCTACGAGTATCCAAACGACAATAACACTCACAATTTAAGTCATCAGTTTCTATGGGGACGATCAATGCTTATCGCTCCTGCTTTGCATGAGGTACGAGAGTAAGTAGAGTCGAGTGGAGAGTCAATTTTCAAATGAATAGTGGAAAAGTCTTCAGACAATGCGTGCTAATATTCTATTCAATTCAGAATGCAAACTCCGTGGACGTGTATCTACCAAAAGACGACTGGTATTCGTTGTTCGATTTCCAGTACGGAGAAGCATGTGAAAGCGGTACTCGAAAATATCCGGCTCCATTAACGTCGCTGATCCCAGTTTTTGTTAGAGGTTACTCTACAACTTTTTCTACTTGGCTTGTCTCATAGTTCCTGTCTCAATTTCGACACTTTGTTTATTCAAGTTTTATCGCTTCTAGGAAACAACTGATCAATAGCATAATCACCGTCATAGTCACTGATATACGTACATTTGCTAGGGAATGTTTGGAATCTTTCCGCCCAGAATGAGTGAAGCTGGGGTTGAAGAACTTGAGAGGTCCTTTTTGGGGTGGTCGCAATCATTAGCTTTCTTTTCTGGCAGATGCTGATTCAAGGCGCAGGGGAGGCGATATTCTGAAAGAGCAATGCCAACGCTTTATGGAAGATGAGGTATCGTGGCCCTGGCTATCTTCCTCAGAACGTGATGAGTTGGCTTTGCAATGTGAGATCGGGCGTTCATCTGGAGAAGGGAGAATTTACAGCGTTTCTGAAAATTCCTCTCAATTCCGAAGCCAGCCCAGAGGTGATTTCACGCTGACTTTAGCAATGATTGTCTTTATACATTGAAGTGGATCCAAAAGCTGGCCACACAGCGAATCCAATAATCCGAAAATGATATTCTCGCAATTCGTAGTTCGAACTTCGGTTGAGTTGGTGCTTCCTGGCCGCGAGCTAGCCATAAGGGGTGCCGCGTGTTGTTGTCACAGTGGTCTCATGACTCATCTCCACTGGTGACCGATTAGGGAAGGCTCTGCTTTTGCCGTACCAAAATAGATTTTCCCCAAATGGTCAGGCGTGCTTCTCGATCATGGTCGGCTGGACCATAAGGTTCTCATCAAGACCTCATTCCGCAGCAGTCCTTTTCATACTGATGGCGTGTACTGGTGCATCGGCTGCGCCTAGGTATCTGCTACAATACCCTTGTAGCAACGTCCGGATGCACTCCAAATTTGTGGTCCAGGGGGCCCTTATCGAAAGTGGCCGCAGACCCAGAATGAGGATTAATTTCACAGCTCGTTTCGTCTTTGCCGTTGCGATTGGACCGCTAGCTCAGTACCCCATCAGTAGCAGAGACTGGGTCGAACACAGCGCTGGTCTTCTCTGTTGTCCTGCTTGCAACAGATTTCATTTGAGGATCGTAAAGCATAATCATTCACTTAAGTCACTGACCTATTTTTATTCCTAGTTGATTAACCCGTTACGGACTTGCGCTTCCGAAACCATGTTGTTAGGGCTCTTGAAGCATACTTAAACTTACTAACGTATTTCGCAATGAAACTGTTCTAGACGAAAGAAATTTGAATTTGAATAGAAATGAGACAGGAATTATGAGACAACCCAATACATCCTATCTTACACTGTCGTCTTACGTCTTCTTCGTACGAATTTGTTCACGTACCACACTGCGCCAATAGAGCAGAAAGTCATTGGTCCTATAAAGCGGATACTGGCTAGAGAGGAGAGGGAAAGGGAATGAGGAGACGTGAAAGAGATGCAAATAAGCGTGGACTGCCCCCGTGTGAGAGGAGTAATGTGAGCACTCTTAGCGTCTCTGCAAACAACTTCGTGGCGGCGTGATGGTGAACAATTCTACCTTTGTCGAACTGAGCTCCACTCCAGTGACTTAGTCGCAGAGCGCGTCTTCAAAGCCAGAGAGTACGTTAGCTGCGAGCCTGATAGGAGTCGTTATTGGTAAAGGGTGAGAGGCTGAGATAGAGGTGGTCGCAACGAGTTGCTGCGATATGATTTCAAAACCGCGCCATGCATATATTTCACTCATGACCTTCCTTATACTTCCTCTGGTGCTCCCCAATCCAAACCTCTATTTTGTGCAACAGCCCAGCTCTGCACCTTTTGCGCAGCTTGTTGGCAGAGGTCAGTGCATGTGAAGCGCATCCTGTGATTTAATGAGATAGAGACAGTAAGGGAGTGGTGAGCGTAATACATTGAAGAAAACCCGAGTTTTGGTTTTTTCTGGCCGCGCAATCTCCGCGATTTTGCGGGCGCGGCCGCCTTAGGTCATTCAGGCAGATTGAGCGATAAAGAGATTAATCATACAAATCTAGTGCAGTGATTTCACTGAGCAGAAGCTCTCCAGGCAGCTCTCAGCGCAATAACAATGAAAAAAGCAAAATGCGGCGACCTAGCTGCAATGGCCTCAAAAGCAATTTTACCCTAGTTGTTTCTATCAGAAACATGCAATGCAATCGCTCACGTTCTGTACCTATCCCTACCACTATTTTATCCTCCCTTTTATAAAAAGAAAAGTGAAACGAAAAATCAATTTCGTAAGGCTTGGAAGTCGTCCTCTAAATCAAAGCATACGTGACCATTTTATGGGCCACTATGCTTGTAGCTATGCTAAAGCTTCTTCCATGGAATCCTTCTATATACAACCCGCTAACTTGGTGTGTAGGTTCGTATGTATGTCTGTATATTTGTATGTATGTATGATTGTCTGTTCGCAATGGAGTGATACGGCAGCCAGTGGAATAAACAAGCCGCTAACAAATCTCGGTATCTCGCAGTACTTACACTATCAATGTTTTCCAATGGAATGATTGTAAAAATCCCAACAGCTATATAAACACACGCTAAGCACATTCTCATTCATCCAGTCATACTATTGGTGGTGCGGTGGCAGCTGGATAGTAACCTAATTTCCGGTAGACAAGCCCGCGCGGATATCACGTAAAAACACCTCCGCTCGTGCAGTGTGATTTTGTGCACCTTGAAATTATCGTAAATTCGCCTACAAAGGTTATTCGACTCCCTGACTACGGAAACGATTCTGATTTTTAGCTCTGGCGCATATGGTGCCAGTGGCCGTGTGTCATGGCACCTATTTTCACCAAATTTGGTATAAACTTTCTGATGAATGCCGTTTTCGTAATCAGCATAAAAACCACTCTTATGGTCAAGCTACGGCTGCCTTTGGATGTACGCTAGTGCACGCCACCAGCGGAGGTGTTTTTACGTGGTATCGGCGGGGGCCTATCTAAAGGAAATTAGGGTAATGGAGGGAATAGTGGAGGATATGGAGAGGGTGAGGCAAACCATGCTTAGCAGTACTGAGGAACAATTAACTGTGGAGATGCCATTATAGCGTCATGATATGATTGTTATGATGCCCTCTGCAATATAATAGAACACCCCTTTGGAGATACGCGTCAGCTTGAGATTTCGGTGCTTTAGGAGGGAGGGTACACAGCAGGAGGCGCAGAGCTTACGCAGGAAAGGAAGATTTGGCGGTTGCCGGGGGACCAACCTGGTAAATATAAAAAAATTTTAAATAAATCAGGCGTGCGCGAAAAAATGAGGGTAATGGGTGCGGGAGATATATAAGGTGGACAAAAATTACGCTAACAACACAAATTGGTCATAAAAAAGCAATGTGACTGAGAAGTTTCAAAGTAACAATACCATCACAATGGTGAATGAAAAGCTACACAACAGGGAAGAATATTGCTCTTTGGAGTGGCTGCTTTCTGCGTTGATAAGTAAAAGAAGGCTCCCCAGGAAGTTATCGACCCTGTTGTGAAGGTAGGTGGTGTCAAGTTTGTCCGAGGTTTCGAAGAGCGACTGCTCAACTAGCCAATGTTCCTGTTATGCTTGTAGCGATGCACTGCCTTTAACACACTCGTACAGAGCATTTCATAGGACTTGAGTTGGGTGAGCCTTCTCCGACTTCTCTGATGCGATGAGTGAGTTCCATGATATTCTGTTATCATCAATTTTTGGACAATCTGTGGCATTGGTGCGCCCTGTCTTGCTCTGATACTCACCGCTTCCTATTGAGGGTTTTTTTTGCCTTGAAGCATCGAACGAGACAGAAGGAATTTTGCTATCCAGTTTTATATCCCGAGTCGCAGAGGACCGTGCCGTCGAATCTTGGTTCCTGTTCCTGATTTCTGCGAAAATAGTCACTGAATGGCGGTTGGCTTTTCACTAGCATTGGTTCGGTTGCCCTACTTATTCAAGACTGCTCCGACAGTAGATCACCTTCTCATCAAGGAAAACGACCGATAAATTGAGCTCACAACGGAATGGAGACAATGATCTCTAGTATCCTTGCTTTCCATTCAATTTCACGCTTTGGTTGAGGCATTCTCATTCTTGTAAAACATTTTGCCAAGATGTGTGCAAGTAATACGTTGGAAGAAACTGAGCTCGACAGCATTTCCAACGTATTACTAGCAACCAGGGTTTTTATTTTGCCTCCAGCACTTTTTTGCAGGTTTCTTCAAGATATTACTCGTGAAGTTGCAAAAGCAGTCCTTTCAGGTCCAGGCCTAATGATACTGGTGAAGAGCCTATCAGTTTGTAATTTTGTTCGATGGAAGTTTCGATGAGCCTTTGAATTGTCTTGCAGTGCAACACAATCAAAAAGATCGTGAGGAGACTAGTGATCAAGGAGTTTAAGGGTTCTCCATTCCAGAGTCGATATATTTCATGAGACGAAATCAAGATTGAACATTGAGTTGTCAAAACAATTACATAGAATATAGATCACGCTTTCTGGTGTGTGAAATTGAAAATTGACAGTGGTAATCTCTTGTTACTGTAATTTTTGCCCACCCAACCCGCACGGTCCGACATGGCCTGCAATGCGTGGGCTATTTGTTTCCCGCGTTGTCATCATCATGTGTTAATTGTTGATCAAGAGATTACGATGGAACATGTGTCATATGTGCCAGAAACCATCATTCCTGAATACCTCAATGCTTTTCATATTTTCTAATCCTTTCTATCTCGCTCTAGGTGGGTCTATTCTGCCGCGCCAAGCAGCCAACACTACAACTTCTGCGTCACGAAAGAATGCCTTCGAGCTTCTGATTGCTCCAGTCTCCTCGGGCGGTGAGTTCAATATTTTCTATTTTACAATGTTCATGGAATTTTCGAAGACCGAGAATCCTTCATCACTGGAGCTATCACAGTGTTGTGAGCACTATTACTCACTTAAAACTTATAGGGCTCGTCCTCATTTCACCTGCATGCACAAACAGCACAGCATTCATGTCGTTATTTCGCAGTCGCCATCTATGGTTAACCAATATCCGGCAAAAACG